AAAAAGTTGTTTATCTCATGGAAACCACAAGGAAAATACACAAGAAAAAGTACATTAGGCTGGGTGCAGTGGTTAACACCTGTAATCCCAGCACTTTAGGAGGCCATGGGAGGAGGACTGCTTGAGCTCAGAAGTTTGAGACCAGCCTGGGCAACATAATGAGACCCTGTTTCTACTAAAAAAAAAAAAAAAAAAAAAAATTAGGTGTGGTGGCATGCACCGGTAGTCCCAGCTACTTGGGAGGCTGAGCTGGGGGATCACTTGAGCCTGGGAGGTTGAGGCTACAGTGAGCTATGATCACACCCTTGCACTCCAGCCTGGGTGACAGTGAGATGCTGTCTAAACACACACACACACACACACACTATATGAAATAGTTCATTTGACTATTATTTACATAATTACAATAAATATTACATATGGAGCCAGCCAAAATTACAGTTTGTCTATTTGAATCTCTCTGGGACATTCTAGCCTGCTGCAGTCTAGACCGTTTCTCTCTGTGCTGGTTGTCATTCTGGAACATTCTGTGTTATGTCCTTGGGGATTCCTTTCACCTTTCTTTTGGGTCGAAGCTCCTCTTTCCCAGATCCCTTGATTTCTTTCAAGCTTTACTGTCATTTGAGTCAAAAACCTTCTCCAGTAATTTCCCTAGGAAGAGTACATACATGTTTTTTTCAATAGCCTGCATGTTTACAAACCTTTCTGTTTAATTGCTAGTTTAAATGCTTATGGTATTCTGATTGAAATAGTTTTCCTTTCAAATGTTGAAGCCTTTTTTCTCCATTATCTTCTGGCCTCCATTGTTGCTTTGAGAAGTACAAAGCATTCTAGTGCTTGACCCTTTGGGACCTGTCTTTTTCCTCTGAAACCTTATGGGTTTCTCTTTGTCCCCGGTGTTATGAAATTTATAAAAATACGTCTTGATGTGGATCTTTCAACCCGTGTGCTGGACTCTTTCAATTCGGAAAATCAGACCCTTAATTCTGGAATTAATTCTTTATTTTCTTTCCTCTGTCGTCTTTATTATCTTTTTCTGAACTCCTGTAATTTGGAATTTGAACCTCTTGGGTGACCTCTACTTTTCTTACCTTTCTTTTCCGGTCTTCCAACTCTTTTGTTTTACCCTTTGGAGATGTTACTTTTCTTTTAACCCTTCTTTTGATTTTTTTCTATTTCTATTATCATGTGATTTCCAAAAACTCTTATTCTAAGTCTTTAAATATAAATTTGTTCTAGTTTCATAGATAAAACCATCTCTTAGCTTTTAACTATGAATAATTGTCATAGTTGATTTTTCTGTTTGTTTTGGTCTCTCATGTTAGAGGTCTTCTGAAGATGCCTGACAAACAGTCCTGCGCTCGAATTTTAAAATAAAGCATAAAATAATTAATCAGAAGTTCTGTGCTCATAGGTGGAGCTTGTCAACTTTGTGTTTCTGTGTATGGCAATCTTGCTAGACAATTTACATAGGAAACCTCCAATATCATTATCTTTGGGTCTTTACTCTTTGGCAGTCAGATTCCCCAGAGAAGAATCATCCATTCTGACCCCCTGGGTATATAAATATAAGCCTGGTTACCAAAATTGTGCAATGAGGAAAAAGGCTGAAGACTCAACATTCAGAATCCTTTCTTTTCCATCCAATATTCCCTGCTCCTGTTCTGTCTAGGGTCTCCTGGTCAGAGGCCCTCTTGTATTGCCTGCAAGGTAACAAATCTGGGGTCTTGTACCACACAGGAAAAGAACTGTCACCTGGCTATTTAGTATTGTGAAGGGGCGGTGGAGGGCTGTAACTGAAACAGACTTTTAAACCAAACCTTTCCTTTTCGCCCCACCTTCATTTGCTACCTTCTTTAGAAATATTGTGAGCCTTCAATTTTGCTTCACAGCTTTTTCCTACTGCTGACTTGAATATTCAGTTTTCTCCAGTCTAAGTCATTTGCTATTTCCAGCTCCCAAATTTTGTTGCTCTCATTTCTACGTTATCTAAAATGATACTCCCAATTCATTATTGTCTCTCATAATACCCTGTATGTTCTTTCCACAACAATCATCATCTTTAATTATTTTCCTTTATTATTTATCTCTGCCACTAGACCATTAGCTCTTTGAGGGAAGACCGGTTCTTATTTATTCTTCATGCCTATCACAGCACTGAACTATGGCACAGAGGCTAGGAATATAGGGTCAGGAGTCTGGGTTCAAATCCCAGTTCTCCCACTTAGTAAGTACATACCCTTGGATAAATAATCTCTCTGTGGTTCTCATTCTTCATCAGCAACAGTGAGATAATAATAGATGTTTCTCCTAGAGCTTTTTGGATGATTTAGTAATTCAAATAAAGTGTTTAGTACTTATCTGACACTTGTAAGCAACCAATAAATGCAATGTAAAGCAGGTGCAGGACAGGCCCAGGCGTGGTGGCTAACATCTGTAATCCCAGCACGTTGGAACGCTGAGGTAGGCGGATGACTTGAGGCCAGGAGTTCGAGACCAGCCTGACCAACATAGTGAAACCCCCTCTCTACTAAAAATACAAAAATTAGCCAGGTGTGGTGGCACACATCTGTAATCCCAGCTATTCCAGAGGCTGAGGCAGGAGAATCACCTGGACCTGGGAGGTGGAGATTGCAGTCAGCCAAGAACACGCCACTGCATTGCAGCCTGGGCAGCCTGGGCGAGACTCTGTCTCAAAACAAACAAACAAAAAACAAAGTAAGGCAGGTGTAAGATAAACAGAAATGAATAAGTCAAAAGAAAAAAAAAATGAGTAAGTATCCTAACACATATGGTTTGAAAATATGGTCGCTATGTATATAGCGACATATATATAGATGAATTGGGGGCATATACTTCTATGCCCTTTGATTAGACCAATAACCTTAGGGTCTTCTGTGACTTTTTTCTCCAACAGGATATCCATCACAAGGGTCACCGCTGACATCTCGCTTGCCAAACGCTCAGTATTAAACAATCCCAGTAAGCACGCAATAATAGAAAGATCCAACACAAGGTCAAGCTTAGGTAAGTCTGTGCAATGAGCTTACGCTTTTTAAACTCTCCTCTCCTGATGTTGATGATGAGAAGATCTAACAAGATGATAATTCTATGTGTCACAGAGTATAGGAAAAACAGGCGTGTGCTGCCAGTAGCTGTTGCTATGGTCTTACTGATTTCATGGTGTGGAAGGATTTGTTATGATAGTTTGAAGTTAAGAATTCCACAGGCTGTCAGCATTAATGTTTTGGTTGTGGTTTGTTTTCACTAATGTGAGCTTTCGTGTCTGCAGACTCTAAGATCTCCTGGCTTTGCATCAGTGTTACCATGAGCAAGTTTATTAACCTTTTGAAGTTTCCATTTCCTCATCTTAAAAAAAGAAATAACTACCTCCTAGAATTATTGCAAGGATTAAACATGATACGTGCTCAATAAATGATAGCCATTATTACGCTAAATATTCCTTAATTCCTGATGTATATCAATAATGAAATCATACTCGGAGAGTATGATTTGTGTGTTTGGAAATCAGTAAAGGATGAAGTCAATTCCTGGCTATATTTATTGATAGATATCGATATGTTTTATTTGTAAAAACAGTGTAGGGAGTTATTGTGTTTACAGGGTGGTATGTGGATACTGCTTATTAACATGTACTGAATTGATCAAATTGAAACCCTTCTGCTGCTATTTAATCTTTTTGGTATGTGCTTGGAGTTTTAGGTTAATCACTGTTACACAAGTTGCTTATTGGATTGTTGGGTTTCTGTTTTTATAAAGTAAACTTTCTGAGAGTTGTGTCAGATCTTTGAGCTTAATTTTTCTCTGTTTATAGGTTAGATATACAAATCCTCTGAGAGGCTGGTTTCTAACATAGAAGTTCTTCATTTACTCTGAAGTATGATTATATAAATAATAGAAAAACTGTTATAAATAATAAGCTTTATCTGTTAGCAATGAGCATGATACATTATAGAACTCAGTTTTGTTTCTCACCTAACAACCCTTCATTGGCAAAACTTCAGTAACAGGTTTAGAAATATATTTGAGGAAAAAATGTAATCATGTGTTTTGCTTACAGCAATTCCTTTTTATGTCCTTATCATCTGTCACACTTAAAACTCTTTCCACACATCATTTGATGCTCACAAGAATTACTTTTTATTTTGCTTTTTTGAGAGAGGGTCTCACTCTGTTACCCAGGCTGCAGTACAGTAGTGTGGATCAGGGCTCACTGCGCCTTGACCTCATAGGCCCAATCAAACCCCCCACCTCAGCCTCCTGAGTATCTGGGGCTACAGGCACATGCCACTACATCGGGCTAATTTTTTAAAGAGATGGAGTCTGACTATGTTGCCCAGGCTGGTCTCAAATTCCCAGGGTCAGGCAGTCCCCCTGCCTTGGCCTCCTAAAGTGCCAGGACTACAGGTATGAGCCACTGCACCTGGCCAAGAATTATTATAAAATGCTCATTTCATAGATTAAACTGAATTAACCAAGTCAGGTAATTTTTTAGACTCATTAGTGGAATCAATTACTTAACAGATTTCCTTAGATTGCCAAGATTTTTTTGCAACTACTGATTATACATTGTTTTTAAATGAATCTTCCAGTCTATGTATTTCATAGAGCATACACTAGATGCCAAATATCACGTGAAAGCCCACAAATAAAAAAATGAACTGATGAAGCCCCTTCCCTCAAGGAGCTGGGGGTAGCCATAAGGCGAATCAGTGAAGAGCCCATCGAATAGAGGGTAATGAGCAAAGTGGTCCAGCCATGAACTGGCTGCCAAAGAGCTGATGCTGCAGGAGGCACAGGGAAAGGCTTTTCCAGGGAGCTGATCCTGAGCTGAGACTTGAAGATGACAGGACTTAGCCAAGAAAAAGGGAAAGGAGTGCAGACGGGTGACAGTGATTCGAGACAGTGAAAGCCACAACAGGCTTCTGAAAAACGTAGGTGCTTCATTTAAGCTAAAATATATGGTTTTAAAAAGAGGGAGATGCAAGATGACAACAGAGAGATAGGCAGAGGTAAGATGTGAAAAGTCTGGAGCTTATTTGCATTAGTCTGTTCACAGGAAAAAAAAATGTGATCATGTGTTTTGCTTATAGCAATTTCCTTTTTTATGTCCTTATCTGTCACACTTAAAACTCTTTCCACACATCATCTGATGCTCACAAGAATTACTGCTAATAAAGACATACCCGAGACTGGGTAATTTATACAGGAAGGAGGTTTAACAGAATCACAATTCCACATGGCTAAGGAGGCCTCACAATCATGGTAGACGGTGGAGAAGGAGCAAAGTGACATCTTACATGGCAGCAGGCAAAAGAGAGCGTGTGCAGGGGAACTTCACTTTATGAAACCATTAGATCTCATGAGACTCATTCACTATTAGGAGAACTGCATGGGAAAGACCTGCTCCCATGATTCAGTTACCTCCCAGCAGGTCCCTCCTATGACACGTGGGAATTATGGGAGCTACAATTCAAGATGAGCTTTGGGTGGGCACAGCCAAACCATATGATTATTCTTAAGTTGGTAGGTGACCATGTACAGACCAGAGGGATTCATTCATTTAGCAAATACTTGAGTACCAACGATGTGCCAGGCATTATTTTGGTGCCAGGGACACAAAAGTAAAGGACACAAAGTACTCTTTCTCAGAGTGTTTGTTTTACAGGAAGACATGGACACATGGACAAAATCTTGTATATATAGACAGACAGAGATGGTTGGTCAGTGGTTGAGAATTCTAAAAGCAGCAGATCAAGGAGTAAAGAGTGAGCCAAGGGGGAGGCTGTAATTTTATTATAATAAAAATGCAAAAAGTACAAAAATGCAAAAAAAAAAAAAATGCAGTTGGACAAAGTGATCTAACACCAAACCCATTTTATAATAAAGTGTAGAGTATCTCATGTGATGTGTTGAATACTAAAAGTGAGAAACAGAATGGTTGTATGGGGACTCAAAGTTCGGTTCCTACTGTACGTATATTGCTTTCACACTCTCTAAAGTTGAAAAGTCTTTAAGTCAGACCATCGTAAGTCATGGACTCTCTGCACTTACTGTAGGCCAAGTACTGTAATAATTGTAAGGGAAGCTTTGCGTATGGATTCATTTAGTCCTCATTTCCATAATACAGATAAGAATACTTAGGTTCTAAGAGGTTTAATGTTACCCAATGACCTTAAAGCTCTATGAAGTGATGACACTTCACTTCTGCCCCCCGAAGTCACTTTGATATGTAGCAGTGGGGACAGAGTAGCAGAATTTACTAGTGTGGGGAGAAAGGTAGTTAGAGAAGGCTTTACAGATTTTTTGTAAGATAAGGCAGGTACTGGTCAAAATTAAGAGTTTTGTGTGTAGTAATTATGAAAATGGCATTGGAATAACACATATGGCATTAAATAACTTATACTAGAGGTATCTCCAGGTCTTAATTCCTAACTGACCACTTAGGTGTCCCTCAACAGTAGCCACAATGAAAGTAACCATCTCCACTCTCTATTATTACAGTATTGTTTGATTACAGAAACCTCCTTCTAAATAAGTTAACTTCTGTTTTTTAAGTTCATAGCACCCAGGTTTTAAGACTAGTACTCATCAGTTATTTTTCCTGAGTCTTCTCCTCCTCCCACCCTGATAGGCCCCAGTGTGTGTACTGTTACCCTCTATGTGTCCATGTGTTCTCATCATTTAGCTCCCACTTACAAGTGAGAACATGTGGTATTTGCTTTTCTGTTCCTGCGTTAGTTTGCTATGGATAATGGCCTTCAGCTCTATCCATGTCCCTCGAAGGACATGATCTTGTTCTTTATGGCTGCATAGTATTCCATGGTGTATATGTACTATGTTTTCTTTATCCACTCTATCATTGATGGGCCTTTAGTTTGATTCCATATCTTTGCTATTGTGAATAGTGCTGCAGTGAACATATACGTGCATGTATCTTTATAACAGAATGATTTATATTTCTTTGGGTATATACCCAGTAGCGGGATTGCTGGGTCAAATGATATTCCTATCTTTACGTCTTTGAGGAATTGGCATACTGTCTTCCACAATGGTTTAACTAATTTACACTCCCATCAACAGTGTATAAGCGTTCCTTTTTCTCCACAACCTCAACAGCATCTGTTATTTTTTGACTTTTTAATAATAGCCATTGTAACTGGTGGGAGATGGAATCTCACTGTGGTTTGATTTGCATTTCTCTCATGATCAGTGTTGTAGCTTCTCCTCTGTATCTTAGAGGAAACATTGATTCTTCCTGGGTGTTGTTTATAGATATTAGAGATATAAAGCATGGAAAGGTATTATTCATTTTTCAGTTTGTTTTAATTCAGTGGGTATACAAAACAGTGGGAGTTGAGGAAAGCTTGTCCCCTCTTCAAGATGCTGAGGTCCATTCTTTCATTAGCTAGGGTCATGTGCGTCCGTGTGAAGAGATCACCAAACAGGCTTTGTGTGAGCAACAAGGCTGTTTATTTCACCTGGGTGCAGGCGGGCTGAGTCCGAAAAGAGAGTCAGCAAAGGGTGGTGGGATTATCATTAGTTCTTATAGGTTTTGGGATAGGCAGTGAAGTTAGGAGCAATGTTTTGCTGGCAGGGAGTGGATCTCACAAAGTACATTCTCAGGGGTGGGGAGAATGACAAAGAACCTTCTTAAGGGTGGGGAAGATTACAAAGTACATTGATCAGTTAGGGTGGGGCAGAAACAAATCACAATGGTGGAATGTCATCAGTTAAGGCTATTTTCACTTCTTTTGTGGATCTTCAGTTGCTTCAGGCCATCTGGATGTATACATGCAGGCCACAGGTGATATGATGGCTTAGCTTAGGCTCAGAGGCCTGACACTAGGCCAACTCAAAAGAATCAAATTGACTTTCAGTTTCAGAAACAAACATTGGGGGAGTTTCTGACATTTCTTTATTACAGTAAATTCTGATCATGATATACTCTGTCAAAGGAAAATTCCATGCATGGATATATTCCTTTTTAAAAGCATCATTTTTACTTTGAAGTCAAAAGTATTATCAGAATTTGTCATCGATCCTTAAGGTTGTATCTACTAATATGGTGTTCCACCAGGATTCTGAAAGTCCACTTTAAAATCTTTTAAAAAATCTTTCCCTTTAATTAAAGGAGTATAAAGTATGTATGTAAGGCTACCAGAAATATCTTTATATATGTGTATATATTAAAACATATGTTAATATATTGACATAATAGAAATAATATCTGTATATGTAATATTTTTTAAGGTTATCCAGATTTTATACAACGAGCACATATTAGGGCCGGGCGCAGTGGCTCATGCCTGTGATCCCAGCACTTTGGAAGGCTGAGGCGGGAGATCACTTGAGGTCAGGAGTTTCAGACCAGCCTGGCCAATATGGTGAAACCCTGTCTCTACTAAAAATACAAAACATTAGCTGGTCCTGGTGGCACATGCCTGTAATTCCAGCTATGTGGGAGGCTGAGGTGAGAGAATCACTTAAACTGGGGAGGCGGACGGAGGTGAGCCAAGACTGCACCACTGCACTTCAGCCTGGGAGATAGAGCCAGACTGTCTCCAAAAAAAAAAAAAAAAAAAAAAAAAACCCACACACACACATATTAAACTTATAATCAATAAAAATAGTGCTTAATCCTTTAAAAGCAAGGAGTTACATGGGATGCTGTGACTATCTGAACACTTATTATTAACAGATGAAACAAAGATGAAAATCTTTGTGATCAGATTTCTTAATTCTTACAATAAACATTATTTTATGTTGGAACTTGACTGGGGTTCAGTGGCCCAATGTCATTTTAAAGCTAGTATCTCATGTAGTTTGGGCCCTGATTTTTTAAAGATATCTAGGTAAACAAAAGGACTCAAGTCATAACATACTGTGAGGCAGATGGATTAGTGACCAGAGAGATACCTTTTCTTCAATAATGTACTAGTTAAAATTATCTCCAGGAAGCTTCTGGCATGAATCAAACTGCCTAAGAGGAATTAAAACGTAATTGTAAATCCACATTTGCTTGCATAAAAGTCTCATGGAATTCAACCTGCATGACTGCAGTGGTAACTGTAAGCTATGTACTCTGCTTTATAGACCTATGCTGCCTAGTAATAGTAACTTCTGGCTATTTATTGAATTTTAAAAATTTAGTTGCCTGTTGACACTAGCTATAGTTCAAATGCTCAGTAGCCCATTAGCTGTTGCCATGCTGGATCACATATAGAGGATATTTCCCTCATCGCAGAAAATTCTGTCAGTCCTGTTTTTGACTCTTTGGAGATCATGGAACAGTAGATGAACTGAATGTAATTTTCTTGGAGTTCAAGTAGATATTTAAATGTTTTGTGATAAGTTTCTACAAATTTTATACTTTAGATTTCTGTAGTGCTGCCTCTGAAAACTGCCCTTTTAAAGCGTGACTACTAAAGGGGTATTCTCTGATTGGAAAATATGAGGTGTGTTTTTGGATAAGTTTGTTACTGGTGCCATTCATGTCTTTCCTGTTTGATTTTGTATTTCATCTTATTAATAAACATATCTAGACGGCATACAGATGACATGTAAACATAGATCAGCCCATGCACTGAAAGGAAAACTTGTCATGGTTGCTAGTGCAATGTGGTCTGCAATGAACACATGGAAGATAGCTCAAGGTTCTTATTTTACAGCAGTTTTATGAAATGATTTCATAGAGTGGAAGCACAAAGAATGTCAGCAGAGAGCTAAAAATTTCCACAATCCAAGTATTATACTAAAAGTAAATTCTGCAGCCGGTTGAGAGAAAAATTCCTTACATCCTAATGATGTGTGGAGAAAGAGCCCTTTCTAAGAGGATAAATTACTGTTGTAAACTTTTATCAATTCTGTTGCCTATAAGCATTAACATAATGGCTGACCTACTCACCTTTCTGTTGAAGAAACAGTATACCATTTTACTTTATCTATCTTAAAAATACTGCACTTTAACTGAACCGTTTCACCCTTTACAGCTGAAGTTCAGAGTGAAATTGAAAGGATTTTTGAACTTGCAAGAACATTGCAATTGGTGGTCCTTGATGCGGATACGATTAATCATCCAGCTCAACTCAGTAAAACCTCCTTGGCCCCTATTATAGTATATGTAAAGATTTCTTCTCCTAAGGTAAGTAGGATTGCTACAGTTTGCTCTATAATCAAATTTTAGTAAAATGTATTTTATGTTCTGCTTTCTATAATTAGGCTATTGTAATAGCCTTTATGAGGTACAGAGAATTTGAAGAGACATGATGGTCAACAATTTTTAAATTGATATAAACAAGGCATGGTTAGTTTCATGGCTTAGAACAGCTGTTCTCAAAGTGTGGTCCATGGATCCCTGGAGGGTCTTGAGACACTTTTAGAGGGTCCATTTAATTAGTCAAAACTACTTCCGTGATAATACTAGGACACTATTTGACATTTTCACTGTTTTGACATTTGCAAGGCTGATGCAAAAGCAATGGTGGGTAAAACTGCTGGCATCTAAGCATGAATCAAGACTGTGGTATCAAAGTACCAGAAGTTCATGTATTCATCACCACTGTGCTTTCCCAGTTTAAGGGGGAAAAAGGCCAATTTCACTTACTGTCCTGATTAAGTAGTATAGTTTATTACTTTTATTAAATCTTGACTTTTAATATTCAGTGTAATAAAGTACACAAAAAGCTCCTGCTGCATACCAAAAAGTGTCTGAAGGACAAGCACTGGTGTGATTGAGTTTTGAACTAAACTAGCCATGTTTTTCATGGAATACCATTTTTATCTCCAACAACAACTGTCAGGCTATGCTTATTCAGACTTGGTGTAGCAGATATTTTCTTGGACAAAATAAGCCTGTCACTTCAAGGAGAACAGCATGTGTTGCCAATGATAAAACTCAAGCTTTCAGACAACAATCAGAATTTTAGAAAACTTGTATGCACCTCTGAGGACTTAGAAGCTTCCCAATAAAGATTTCTCTGATGAAATCAATGATAATATTAATGAATATGATGTTTTAATACTGTATAATGAAATATGTCAACATTTGAAAGATCTGAAGTCAGTGAACCATTATTGTTTGTATGATCAATGAATAATGTTAATTTCAAGATAGACCAATGGAATGTCATGGAGTAAGAAAATTTGCAGGTTTCAGATTCCACATAACAACGGAACTACCATTTGTTGAGTTTTAGTGTAGTATCAAAGAAGACTAGACTAAATTGTTTCTCCTTTTCTCAATTACAAATCTGTAAGAGGTTGGATTTTCTTCACATATTTCAACCAAAACAAGACACTGCAGCAGGTTGACTGTAGAAGCAAACAGGAGACTGCAATTGTCTTCTATGAAGCCAGCTGTTAGGTTTATAAAAAATGTAGCTATTTTTATAAAAAAAAATTTTAACATGTAGCAGATTTATTGTGAATTTTTAAATGTTGTAATAGTTTTCCATTTTAGCTTCTTTAAAGAGGTTGTGAGACAAAATGTTTGTTTGAGATCTGCTAGCTTAGAAAAAAGAATGTGAGTACTTAAAGCTTGCAACTGTGATTTACGTTAACATGTTAATTTTACAGATAATCTTATAGCTCCATCTATTACAAGCCCCTTGTGCTGTATATAAAAAGGCCCCAGAGAAAGGAGTCAATAATGTACCTTGTTCTTTACCTGGGTGTTAAAAACTCATTATCTTTTACAGGTTTTACAAAGGTTAATAAAATCTCGAGGGAAATCTCAAGCTAAACACCTCAACGTCCAGATGGTAGCAGCTGATAAACTGGCTCAGTGTCCTCCAGTAAGTTATCTCTATATACAGCATAATCCAGTTACAGAGATCAGACCTGGTTTTTTTTTTTTGAGATAAGGTCTTGCTCTGTTGCCCATGTTGGGAGTACAGTGGTATGGTCTCAGCTCACTGCAGCCCTGAACTCCTGGGCTCAAGGGATCCTCTCGCTTCAGCCTTCCAAGCAGCTGAGACTATAGGTATAGGTGCATGCCTCCATGATCGGCTAACTTTTTTTTTCCCCCTATGGAGATCTTTGTCCTTCCTCCTGCTAAATCTTCCTGTGTTGCCCAGTCTGGTCTAGAACTCCTGGCCTGAAGTGATCCTCCTGCCTTGGCCCTCCAAAGTGCTAGGATTACAGGCATGAGCCACCATGTCTGGCCAGAACTGGCATTATATTTTGAAAAAAACCGTCAAACACCTGTCACAGAAGAGAATCCTCATCACTTAAAGTGGTAGTCATTCCAAAGTAAACTGTCCTCCCTCCTTCCATGATCATGTTCCTTCCACGATCATGTGTTTTGCGCACAAGTAATCCAAATGATGCTTATAGCTTACAAAAAGCTTCAGTACATCCTGCAGTAACTTCACGCTGTTAATATCTAACACAAGATCCTGGTTCCAAAAATTTGGCTTGTATGATGAGTCTATTTGGAGTTGGTATATTATTCATTTCTGATCATAGAGAGCAAGTTGTCGCTCTTAGTAACTGAGACATATTTTCACATGGTCTTAAATCAATTTCTAAGGAATAAGTTAACTAGATTCTCACTTGTCGTCTGTGCTTTACATACAATGCCTTGGGGCTATAGAGCTGTCCTAGGTTTAGTTTTGGAGGCAGGGTCTTGCTCTGTCGCCCAGGCAGGAGTGCAGTGGTGGCCTCTCGGTTCACTGTTGCAACCTCTGCCTCCCGGGCTCAAGTGATCCTCCCACCTCAGCCCTCCAAGTATCTAGGACTACAGGCACACGCCACCATGCCCTGCTAATTTTTGTATTTTTAGTAGAGATGGGACTTTGCCATGTTGCCCAGGCTGGTCTCAAATTCCTGACCTCAAGTGATCCGTTCACCTCAGCCTCCCAAAGTGCTGGGATTACAGGCATGAGCCACTGCGCCAGGCTTTTTTTTCAAGCATAGCTATTTCAGGCGCTATGAATATTTGATTGCTTAATGTATGTTAAAATTTATAATAAACACTAAAAAATCTTTTGAAAAGTGACTTTTTTTCTTCTCAACTGTGAAGTTTGGACAACGTCAAATTATCAGTGGTTTCGGCTGCTTCTGCCAAGTTTCACATCCTAATCTTACCTTATTAATTTCTAAATTCAGATTTCATAATCTTGGGCTGGACATGGTGGCTCATACCTGTAATACCAGCACTTTGGGAGGCCAAGGCAGGCAAATCAATCACTTGAGGCCAGGAGTTCAACACCAGCCTGGCCAACATGGCAAAACCCCATCTCTACTAAAAATACAAGAATTAGCCAGGCTTGGTGGTAGGCACCTGTAACCCCAGCTACTTGAGAGGCTGAGGCAGGAAAATCGCTTGAACCTGGGAGGCCAGGGTTGCACTGAACCAACATCAGGTCACTGCACTCCAGCCTGGCCAACAGAGTGAGACTCTTGTCTCAAAAAAAAAAAAAAAAAAGATTTCATGATCTTGATGTCAAGAATAGGCTTCTATCCTATTCTGTTCAAATATATATACATCTCTTTTGTACCATAGTATCCATGCCTTTTTTCATTGCTGATAGACAACTTTTCTGTGCTGCCATGCCCTTAACAACTGTTACCTTTCTGGCCATTATTAGTTAAGCATTCAGTGCCCTAAACAATGATTTGAGGTAGTCAGACACTTGCTAACTAAATAAAAAAGGAGATAGTAGCAGCGCTTATAGAAGCAGGAGCAAGTACAAAGGGGTGCAGCTCATGAGCCCCTTCCTCCTCTTATGGAGGTGGGAAGGGGCTGCGTCAATGTGGTCTGGAATGTCTGCCTCTGCAGGAGTTGTTCGATGTGATCTTGGATGAGAACCAGCTTGAGGATGCCTGTGAGCACCTTGCCGACTATCTGGAGGCCTACTGGAAGGCCACCCATCCTCCCAGCAGCAGCCTCCCCAACCCTCTCCTTAGCCGTACATTAGCCACTTCAAGTCTGCCTCTTAGCCCCACCCTAGCCTCTAATTCACAGGTAAGGGGAGTTTTTATATATATCTATATATACAATCTTCATAGGAAAAAAGGTAGCCTATGGTGACACCTCCAGGATCCAAGCCCAGTAGCCTGCTTGGGGCTTGTTCTAGTATATTAACTCAAAGCAAGTCCAGCATGAGCCATGTACCTGTAAGAAAAGCACCATCGACAGAATATACTGGGAACAAACATAGACTACAGAAACTTTCTACAGTAGAAACTTTCTACTTTAAACAGTAATATAGACTGTGGAAGCGGATCACCTGGATTCAAATCCTGGCTCCACCTCTTACCACTTGTGGGGCAGATAACCTGGGGCAAATTTCTTAACTGTTCTTACCTCAGGAATAATAATGGCAACCTGTCCATGAGGCTGCTGGAATTAGTAATCTCATGAGATGATCTTATAGGGCTGTTGTATTAATGAGTTATTATATACAAACGGTCTAGAACAGTGCCTGTCCCATATTGTATCATTGTATCATATAAGGATTTGCTATTTTTAATATTATCACAGACAGTCAAGCAGAGATAGTTAAATTTACACCCCTGTATAGAAAAATCTCAGGGACCTGCATCTATATTTGAGCCGCAGGAGAATATATAAAAGAACACTTGCCCTGCCTTTTTTTCTTTTTTTTAAGGAAAAGGTTACCATGCACACTGTTCTAGGCACTTACAAAGTCCAATTTAATACACTACAAGCCTTATAAATGCCACTGGATGTTACCAAAGGGATGAAGCTAGGTTAGACTTCACTTCGGATGCTTAAAAAGGCCTCCACTTGAATGCGCTTGCTCTGGGACATGTTCTCTACACACTGACCTTGGTTAATGCCTGGTATGCTCCTTTTGCTGCCAGGGTTCTCAAGGTGATCAAAGGACTGATCGCTCCGCTCCTATCCGTTCTGCTTCCCAAGCTGAAGAAGAACCTAGTGTGGAACCAGTCAAAAAATCCCAGCACCGCTCTTCCTCCTCAGCCCCACACCACAACCATCGCGGTGGGACAAGTCGCGGCCTCTCCAGGCAAGAGACATTTGACTCGGAAACCCAGGAGAGTCGAGACTCTGCCTACATAGAGCCAAAGGAAGATTATTCCCATGACCACGTGGACCACTATGCCTCACACCGTGACCACAACCACAGAGACGAGACCCACGGGAGCAGTGACCACAGACACCGGGAGTCTCGGCACCGTTCCCGAGACGTGGATCGAGAGCAGGACCACAATGAGTGCAACAAACAGCGCAGCCGTCATAAATCCAAGGATCGCTACTGTGAAAAGGATGGAGAAGTGATATCCAAAAAACGGAATGAGGCTGGGGAGTGGAACAGGGATGTTTACATCCGCCAATGACTTTTGCCCTTTTGTGTTTTTTTTTTTTTGAAGTCTTGTATAACAGCATCCCCAAAACAAAGCCTTTGGGGTCTACACTGCAATCATATGTGATCTGTCTTGTAATATTTTGTATTGCTGTTGCTTAAATAGCAATAGCATGAATAGAGTATTAAGATACTTTTTCTTTTGTAAGTGCTACATAAATTGGCCTGGTATGGCTGCAGTCCTCCGGTTGTATACTGGACTCTTCAAAAACTGTTTTGGGTAGCTGCCACTTGAACAAAATCTGTTGCCACCCAGGTGATGTTGGTGTTTTAAGAAATATAGTTGATGTATCCAACAAGCCAGAATCAGCACAGATAAAAAGTGGAATCTCTCGTTTCTCCAGATTTTTAATACGCAGGCACCTGATTTGCATATTCATTCATGGACCACTGTTTCTTGCTTGTACCTCTGGCTGACTAAATTTGGGGACAGATTCAGTCTTGCCTTACACAAAGGGGATCATAAAGTTAGAATCTATTTTCTATGTACTAGTACTGTGTACTGTATAGACAGTTTGTAAATGTTATTTCTGCAAACACCTTCTTATTATATTATATATATATATATATATATATAAGTTTGATCACACTATTTTAGAGTCTTAATGCCAAGTCAGCAGATTTGCTTTATGAATTACAGGGACTAGAAATGCCCACATTCAGGAAATTTGTAATAACATTGTCTAGACACCTATCCTCATTCTAGTAGAAAGATTGTACATACTGTAAATATGTGTGATTGCTTGACTTGAAAAGGTTTGAATTCTGAATGTTATACCATCCTTGTAAGTTTGTAATTTTCACCATAAATTATGGTAAATATAAAACTCCAGAGGTTGTTCTACTCCATACAGTTCACACTGATTGTGACACATTCTTAGTAGCTAGTGTCTGTTCTAGTCACTGCACTGGAGTCTATGAGCCGGAACTCGCTATATGCACGTGTGTGTGTCCGTATGTAAGAGTGTGCACGAGTGACTGAATGGCTGAGATGAATTGGAATGCTGAAGACTAGTGAAGAAACTAAAGACTGATATCGAGCATTCTGCCCACCTGGCTCTGTATTTAATTGTGCTATATGTTGCTTTAATAACCCATTGAGCAGTCAGGGAATGTGAGTAAGCTTGCTGCCAAAGGTAACTAGGAAAGCATTCATCTGCTGCCTCCTTGTTTTTGCTCATAGAGAGTAAAAATACAGGCAATTTTACTGTGAGTGTTTCACTGGAAATGTACAATCTTTGTGTGTTAGAGTATTTGTTTTAGTAAGAAATGTTTACACAGCTTGTGGAATTATTTCGTGGGAAAATAAATTTTTATAACTTCTCCCACTTCATTTTCTAACCTTGCCTATTGTTCCTGTTGTTTACCTCCCAGTTACCTACCATTCCTCCCCACCACCGACTCCAGCAGGTTCACTGTCTGTCAGAACCCAGAAGTGCTTCTTATAACCAAAGTTTCTGTTTTTCAGAAGTAATCAGGGCAACATGGGGTGACTTGAAGTGAATAAAATGTTTAGAATATTATCCTACATAAGACATCTACACGGAAGGGGAACCTTGAAGACATTATCTCCATGCCTCAATTACACTGCTGTAAGAAGCTTACAATGTCATCATGTTTAAGGCTAAGACCTTTTCCATGTCTCGTGTTTATTTTGTCCAGTTATAACTGGATGGTAAGACAGTATTAAGAGTGCAAATACCTGGTACTTGAAGTTTGTCCCAATAAAATGCCTGTGTTTAACTGCCTAACTTCAGATCTACATATTCACTTATATAACAAAATAATCAGCCGGGCATGGTGGCTCATGCCTGTAATCACGGCTCTTTGGGAAGCCGAGGCAGGTGGATCACCTGAGGTCAGGAGTTCAAGACCAGCCTGGCCAATGTGGCGAAACCCCATCTCTACCAAAAATACAAAAAAATTAGCCAGGTATGGTGGTGCACACCTGTAATCCCAGCTACTCGGGAGGCTGAGGCAGGAGAATTGCTTGAACCCAGGATGTGGAGGCTGCAGTGAGCCAAGATCGTGCCACTGTACTCCAGCCTGGGTGACAGAGTGAGACTCCATCTCAAAAAGCAAACAAAAAAACCTAATCAGCAAAACTATAGTTATAAAATCAATTATTTTGCTTCCTTGATTATTCCAAGTTCTTGCCAAATATTCTTAGACTTTTATAAGTAAAACTGTTTTACATTTAACACCTTATTTCCCTTATCCCCAAGAAAACTCAGTATTAAAAAATGATTAAGCTGGCATGGTGGAATATACCTGTAGACCCAGTACTTGGGAGGCTGAGACAGGAGGATCCCTTGAGCCCAGGAGGTGGAGGTTGCAGTGAGCCGTGACTGTACCACTGCACTCTATCCTGGTGACAACCTAGTGTCTAAAAAATGAAAATAAAAATTAGTTACATATATAATGTTTTATCAGCTTATATATGAAAAATTTCCCTCAATTTGTTAATTAGCTCTATACTGTTTACATGAATTTATTTTACCGAGTATAAAAACAGTAGTCATAATAAACTTGACAATTCTTACATTGTCCTACCAGTAGGAAACCATATTCTAATTAAAATTGCTTTTATAAAGTATTTCTGATAAAACTTTTGTCATGGTAAGAGATTCACAATTACTAGGTTCAATCCTTTACTATTTCATCCCAATTAATTATTTTGGAATATTTAAATTCTTGAAACACAGCTAGTATTTATCTTACTTGCTGCTATCATTAATCCCTTTCAAAAAGTAGTGGTTAGAGTTGCCATCTTTTTAATTTTGTATCTAGATTCTTAGCTTGCACTTTACTGTGGAATGTATCAGTGCAAATTAGAATATTCCTCAAAAAACTAGCTTGAAGGATTTGACATAAGAGCATCTATATGTGAAAAACTGTATAGTGGACATATGTGTAAACTGTGTAGTAAATCTGTAAATGAGGAAATAATCCCAATGGTAATGGGATATTTACTGACCTGTGGAATGTATATAGTCTTTTCACACAACAAAGGCTTAATCTTAACCCACTCAGCTGTAGAACCATGATTTTTGTAGTCAACCTAGAAAATGCTGGAAATGTATTTAATAGTTTTTTTTTTTTTTGGTCATACCCATTTCAGTCTTTCCTATGCTCTTTCTCTGCTGCTCATTTAAGTTACTGTTACAAAAAGGTGCTGCTAAATGTAGGATGTCTTAGTCATGTTGTACTTTGGGACAATGCCACATTTTTAACATGGTCTGCTATGCATTCCTGTTCAACATTCACTGTCAGCTACACTGAACTGTCTAACAAACCTGGTTTAAAGTAATTCATATAAAACAAATAAAGAGCTGGCTTCTGCACTGTTTATTAGTAGTAGTATTAATTGCCATGTTAGAAATGATTCATGTAGTTGAGACTATATTAAATATTCAACACTTCCCATCTGTGGGGCATCTTTCTTGGGGCAATGTCAAACACTTTATGTTCCTTTAGTAATCTTCCTATTATGTCTGATTAAAAAAAAAAAAAGATAGCTCCATGTAGAAACTTTTTTTTTTTCAATGTGAACTCTAGTAGAATAATCTGGGTCAGTTATGGGTTCTGGATCAAGTGTTTAATTTCTGCTACGCTGTACTTTTCACTATTTGTACTTAGATTCGTTATTTAAACTAAAACATGACACAGGGTTTTGAAGTAAATGTACTCACTGTTGAACTTAAGTACTTTTTCTGTTTCATAGAAATGTTAATACTAAATATGTTAACATATATATTAATTTTCCCTCACATTTCCCTGATTTTTTCACCTTCCTCTTGCATTTTTTTCTTACATTGCTATGTCCCTTAAGTTTATGTGATTTTCCAATTTGCTTAAGTTTTTGAAAGGAAGAAACCCACTGAAAATTAGCCACGTTCAAGGAAAAATTCTGAATAGTATTCTCTGTCCTGTTTCCAATATGTAAATATTTTTCTTCTATTTTCTGGCATTGGTTGTATTTTGACATTTGTTGGTATTAATCAAACATTTACACCAGTACAAGTTTGTTGCTAGGCTGATTTTCTGCCATTTTCATCCCAGCTTAGCAAATAAGGATGTGCAGCGAGCATTACAGAAAATGACTTTTGTAGAGTTTCTTAAAACACATTTAAAGTTTAAGGAGGTATGCTGAGCCCTAAAAAGATAAGTCGCACAGGAAAATTGTTTCTCTTTAGTTAAATGACATCTACTGGATATAAGGCAGAATGAGGGATGTAAAAGACACAGGTTTGCTTGAAATAATTTTTCTCTTAAACAATAAGCATCTATTGACTGCTCTGAAGCTGTGACTGAGAGAAAAGGCAGTACAGGGTCTCTGCCTGGAGGATGTTTCCTAGGTGTGAAGCTGGGGCTTAAGGGGCATGGATAGAAAATTTGAATGAGAGTGTCATAAGCCAGGAGAACATTAGATGTGGGTGCCAGAGGCACACAGAAGGGGAACAGTGCCTATCCAACCTCAGGGAAGGGTATTCAAGAAAGCCTTCTTTAAAGAAGAGGCCATCTATCGGTCTTACCTGATCCAAGAGACCTTGCAATCCTTATGGATACAATAAATAGTTATGAGAAATTCCTAAAGAAAACCTGTGAGGGGGGAAAAAAATCAGACTATTAAGCAGTTGTCCATTTCTTATGCCCAAGGCCTGATAACTTTTGGGCGATTTGAATAAAAGCTAACAAAACCGTATGATGGATTTAAACACCACGAGACAGCCTTAAAACTATGGCTGGGTACTAAGTATTCTGATTGGTCTAAAAAGCCAATAGAAAGGCAAAATACTAAGGCTGTAATGTTTTTTTAAAAGCTGGCTGGGTGCATGGCTAACATCTGTAATCCCAGTGCTTTAGAAGGCCAAGGCGGGGGGGACTGCTTCAGGCCAGGAGTTCAAGACCAGTTTGGGTAACACAGCAAGTTCCCATCTCTCTCAAAAAAAAAAAAAAAAAAAATTAGCCAAGCACGGTAGCACACAACTGTGGGGGAGGCTGAGGCAGGAAGATTGCTTTAGCCCAGGAGTTTGAGGTTGCAGAGGGCTATGAAATCATGCCACTGCACTCCAGTCTGGGCGGCAGAGCAAGACCTTGTCTTTAAAAAGTAAAATTAAATTGAAAAGCAGTCACTTATTTTGGCCACTACAGTGGGATGCTTGGGTATTTTTGCAGTTCGAAGGATGATCTGCTTTTTGTCTGAGTTCAGACTTGATTGTGGTCTTTTTTTGTCTGAATCTATGATAGGTACAGCTGCCTTGTCTGATGCTGGTGTTACGTGAAATTGTTTATGTTCAACAGGAGAACACCAAGGCCCAGCTATAAGGGTCAGGCCAGGCTGCTTCCCAGCTGCCAGAGCTGGGTTTTTTTTTTATTTTCCTCTCACCAACCATTTTCTAATAACTTACATGTTTCAAACACATGATAAGTTACCCAAATTGTGGAATAATCTCATTTTCTAAATCTACAAAGAAAATATTCATTTTACTTTTTCGTTTAAAATTATGAAAAACATTAAACATAGACTATCATTTAGACGGTGATAGTCTTTAGACTATCACTTCACACTATCATTTAGAGGAAGTCCAGACTTCATTTGAAAGGGGGTTGACCTACTAAATAAGCAGAGAGTCAGGTAAAATACTTACCTCCATTATTGGCACATAGTCAATGTTTGATTTCCCATGCCCTGAATCCTTAAGAAACTACTATTTAGGAACCTGGGAACAAAAACCACTTTTCATAACCACATCAAATGCTGCTACTTTATTCCTTTTGTTAGATTCACTAATTTTTAACATTAAAAATGACTTGTATTCTTCACAAATTAAAACATTAGCTTGCAAATGAAAATATGCTCCAGACAGCTACAGGCATCTGTTTTTCTTTATACTCCAAATACATAAAGCAAAAAATTCTTTTAAAAACGGAAAATATAATCTCACACCACCCCCTACTTCCTCTGTGTCTCTGGATCCCTGGTAAAACAGCTGGCAGTCCTTTCTGTTTCCTTAGCAACTACGTCATCATTCAGTTGGCCTGACAACACTTTGGTATAAAAAAAAAAAAGCACAGACAGCAAATGTTTGGAATTTTCATTTCTGAGCATCCATCCTCTCCTATGTGCTTTTGCATTTTACAAATTTTGCAATAAAAAAACCTATAGAGTCCTTATTAGCCAGACGCAACATATCTTCTCTTCTGGCCTCTCTGAGAGAGTCCATGTCAGTGTCCGGTAATGGCACAGCCGATGGATCAAATCGCTGCAGCTGTTTCAATTGTTCACATGAGAGACCAGCTCCCCTCATTCCTTCTCCTCCAATCTGCGGTTCCTGTTTGGAGAAAGTGAATCAATATGGATGAACATCCCATAATTAGCAAGTATGCCTGCTACTATTTAAGTTAAAAGACCAATTGGGCTGTAACGACTACATCTTCCAAAAATAGCAAAATGAGTAAATGCCTTTCATTTTGGTGGAAAATACGTGCTGCTTTCCAGACAGTAAAGTGGGAAAGCAATACTATGCATCACCTGATGAACAAATACCTATGATTACATGCTTATCAGGCACTGTGACATTACTAAAGGCCTGAGCTTCTTAGCTGGAAACAAGTAGACTCAAATTGCAGGTCTATCACATTTTAGCTGTATGACTTTAGGTAACATTAACCACATTTCCTCATCTATTAAACAAGGCTTAAGCAAAGAAGGTGGAATCACACCTGGCACATAGCAGGGACTCAGTAAATGGAACATTATTATCAATAAAGCAGAAGAGGCCAGGCACAGGGGCTCACACTTATAATCCCAGCACTTAGGGAGGCCGAGGTGGGCTGATCACCTGAGGTCAGGAGTTTGAGGCCAGCCTGGCCAACAAGGTGACGCCCTGTCTCTACCAAAAATACAAAAAACTAGCCAGGTGTGGTGGTGCACGCCTGTAATCCCAGTTACTCGGGAGGCTGAGGCACGAGAATTGCTTGAACCCGAGAGGCAGAGGTGGCAGTGAGCCAAGATCATGCCTGGGCGATCCAGCCTGGGCGACAGAGTGACACTCCATCTCAAAAAATAAAAAATGAAAGAAAAGAAAATAAAAGAGAAGGAAGGGTGCAGGGAGGGGGAAGGGAAGAAGGAAAAAAAAAAGAAAGCAACAGAAAAACTCAGCTTTATTTAACATTTTCCAAAACTGAAAGGTGGTCTTCAGGCATCTAAGGTACCTCTCTCTGACCCATACCAGGTGGGTGAGAAAAGTTTCTAGAAAAACAAACATTAGAAAGGGATACATAATTTAAGGCTGTATCAATTAGTTTAGAGGAATCATAAGGCCTTGAGTGATACTTGCAAACTACTATAGATCTTGAAGAAGATCTATAATCCTAAGTCACTATCACAATCATTTGCATGTTAATGAAGATAGGTTTTTAGATACATACTTAAGAAAACAGATCGTTTATTATCCCATGGAGGTCAGGGGAAAACGTCCCATCTCTTTTAGGTATATATTTTGAGTGTGTATGTTTCCAAGTGAATTCTGAAGTCTTCCCTTCATCTACAATGTAATTACCTTAATTTATGAGTCTAGAAACCATCTCTGAATTATCTATATTTATGTATTCCCATTACCTACTTCTGTATAGAAAGGTACTAAAGTTAGATGCTCAATGTATCTGAATGTATGTGAGCATTATTACAGATTTAAACTTAATCTCAAATATCCTGGGCTAAAAACTGAATCAAAAATACATTTCTAATAAAGACCATAACAGAAAGAGTTGTGTTAGGTAAAAGAAAGTATAAGAAAGCTTTTTAAATATTATACATTGTATATAATAAGCGATAATCCAGAAGCACGTTTTTCCCTTTCGGCTGGTCTTCTGATATCCCACAGTTATTAAAGCTCATTTGAGCTTTGATGTGACATGAGAGAAAATGCTCAACATTTTCCACATCAGAAAAATACGGCACTGGGAAAGAAGAAAAAAGTCTTTTTAGAAAAAAGGTGCCGAGTAACATGAATAGCTACAAGTGGAATAAACACATAACAAAAATACTCCCAAGCTCTGTGCCATTTTAACACAATGGCAAGGAACAAAGATGACAAAAAACTTTGTCAGGACATGCAAATTATGGGCAGTCTAAAATGGATCTAATTAGGTAAGCATTCTTGTTTATTACAGTGTTCACTTTGGAAGTTTTACTTTTTTCTTCGTTAACACCCTGTGTTTACCACAGTGCTTCAGTTTCTGTGATTTATCTTATTACACAGAGAAAAATGAAATTAGTCCTACCTGGGGCTGAAGCTGAAGGCAAGGAAATTTTGTCAGGGCCCAGGCAACTTGTTCTTCATTTTCGGCCAGTGTTATAGTGCATGTGCTATAAACCAGCACACCCTCTGGCTTCAGCAGCTGAACTGCCTAAAGAAAACTGTGATCAGACCACACACAGCACAAAACCAAATAAACATCTGCATGAATTTCATAGCATAAGGTGTAATATCTTTCAAATGTTTGGGATAAATAAAATGATGTTCTATGTGACAAGGATTCCTTCTGTAATTAGAGTATGCAAGAGCAATACTTGCAGACTAGACTAGGTGCATTTCATCATCTTGGAACTGTCATACTCCATATGGACCAAGACTTCCCCAAACACAATCATTCACCTTCATGCCTTCCGATACCATTTTTTATGCTGAAAACTCACAAATTTACATTTTTAGGCCAGACCTCCTTGTTAAATTCCCTACTTAAACGTTCAGTTGGCTTCTTAACATTTCTTTTTCATTCTTATTTTTCTAAATAGAGATGAGGTCTCACTGTTGCCCAGGCTTGTCTTAAACTCCTGGGCTCAAGCAATCCTCCCACCTTGGCCTCCCAAAGCGCTGGGATTGCAGGTATGAGCCATAAGTCTGGCCCTTCTCAACATTTCTATAATCCTATCAAACTTGACATGTGCCAAAATGAACTCCTCCTTTCCCTCTGAAACCTACTGCAGGAGTCTTCCTATCTTTCCAGAATCTCACGTGCCAAACCTCAGATGATCGTTTATGCCTCTTTTTCTGACTCCCCCAACCATCAGCAAGTCCTGTTGGCTCTACCTTCAAATTCTAGCCAGAATTTGGCCACTTCTCACCACTTCCACTGCTATCATTGTGGTCCAAGCCTCTTTATCTTTTGCCTGGATTATTGCAACTGCCTCCACTTCATCAGCTTGCTTTATTCCCTGCCCTCCTGCAATCTAGTCTCAGTACAGCAGACAAAGCAGTCCTTTTAAGCTTGTCCCTTCTCAGCCCCAAGCCCCTCACATGTCCTCCATGATCACTTAAAGACAAAGTCCTTACAGAGGCCTTTTGAGGCCAGACATAAACAAGTCTCCTGTTGCCTCTCTGACCTCCTCTTGTACACCTCTTACCCTGGCCCGTTCTACTTTGGCAACACTGACCTTCTGCTGTTTCTGGAACACACAAGGCACAGTGGCACCTCAGAATCTTTGCAGCAGTTGGGAAAGCTCTCTTAATTCTCTGCACTGCTTTCTCCTTATCTTTGCATGTATGTCACGTTCCCGGGCACTCTGTAAATTTTCAACTATTCCAATCCAACACTGCTATCCCCAGTTCCTTTGGCTTGCTCCATAGGCCATTGCATTATTGCCTTCTAATATACTAAAAAACTCATTTATTTCCTCTCCTAGTTAGAACAGAAACCTCGTGAATAAGGGCATGGAATGTTGTCTACTTTCTCAATACTGTACCGTCAATGTCTAGAATAGCGTCTTACACACAGTAGGTGCTCTATGAGTATTTGTTGAATACATGAATCAGGAGATAAGGTGCTATGCTAAAATAGATTTGTCTCAAATACCTAAAGTTCAACTTTTCAAGCTCCTGATTTTTAAAATTTTAAAGGAAATCTTTAAAAATAGAGTGTACACACTTGTGCTTTTTAAATCAGAGTATGCTGATCAAAATTTAAACTTTGTTACTATGTGCCAGTTACTGTGTTAAACACTGTACATGAATTTTTCTCAACAAATCCTTATAACAACCACAAAGTAAGATGACTATCACCAAAGATGTATTCCTAGTAGGTAAAGCTGTTATCCCTACTACTCAGATATAGAAAGCAATGTACATAAAGTCACTTAGGAGGAGGAGCCATGGCTCAAGTCAACATGTGTCTGACTCTAACATCCACATTCTCGATTTCTCTCCAGGCTAAATGGCACACCTGCTATATTCTCAAGTTCTCTCTCATATACTGTCAGCTTTTCCTTCTCATTGAGATCATTCATCTACTCCTAGTAGCCTTTTAAAATCCTATTTTTGCTATGACCTACAAAGAACAGAAATCCAAGTCCTTTACAGAAGTATCCTAATTTTATTCTCAAGTCAAAGTGGGTTTCAGCTATAAGTAAAGCTTCCTTTTTGCTGCTTGCTGTTTTAATTCTGAGGATGAGTTCTTTGAAGACTTCACAGAAAAAGAGGAAGTCAAATAATCCGCAACCAGTGCTACCTTTGTGTATGAAAGGAAACACCAAGAGAGTTGAATCGGAATGTACTCAAAGACAGCTTTAGAGACTAAATCATTACAGAACATCCATTGTTGCTCTAGCCTTGTATTTTGGAGGGCTGGGATGAAATAATGAATTTATCTATGATCAAACACTGTCTATACACTCTGAAATCCACTGAGTCATTTTTGCAAGACTAGGAGAAATCCTCAAATGTTCTATCTGGGCTTCTTCTGAAAGTACTAGAGACAAGTTAAATGTGTACAGTTTTTATGGTTCTCCTATATCCTACACTGGCCACTGTCTCTTCCTGTTTTTATCAATGAGTTTTGCTTCCTATTGGAACTTCTTCTTCTAAAGAAGACCCCAAAATCTACTTTTTTTCTTTCTTTTTTTTTTTTTTTTTTGAGACAGTCTTGCTCTGTTGCCCAGGCTGGAGTGCAGTGACGTGACCTCAGCTCACTGCAACCTTCGCCTCCTGGGTTCAAGCAATTCTCCTGCCTCAGCCTCCTAAGTAGCTGGGACTATAGGTGCACATCACCACGCCCGGCTAACTTTTTGTATTTTCAGTAGAGACGGGGTTTTGCCATGTTGGCCAGGCTGGTCTCGAACTCCCGACCTGAGGTGATTAGCCCACCTCGGCCTCCCAAAGTGCTGGGATTATAGGTGTGAGCCACCATACCCAAGCAAGAACTCTATTTTTTTAAAAAAGAGTAATTTAGTTTATATCTATTTCTTTACATCAATTAGTAACTACAAGTTAACAATTCAGTGACTTTTCAGATAGAGCAGAATATTTGAAATTTATTAAATATGTGACGAAATTCTACTATTGCCTGTATATCTTAAAGGTGAATCAACTTAAAGGAAACCTTCTATATTTAAAACTAGGTCCTCTCAGTTGTATTTGTGTGTATGTGTGTATAGTAAAATATAAATAACATAAAATTTACCATTTTAGTCATTTTAAGTCAATAATGACCTTCAGTACAGTCACATTGTTGGGCAACAATCACCACCATCCATCTCCAGAACTTTTTCATTGTCCCAAACTGCAAGTCTATATGCATTAAACAATAGCTCCTCAATCTCCAGCTCCACAATGCCTGGTAATATCTATTCTTCCTCCTGTCTCTATGAATTTCCCAGCTACTCATATAAGCAAAATATTACAGCATTTTTCCTTTTGTGTCTGGTTCATATTACTGAGCATAATGTTTTCCAGGTTCACCCATGTTGTGCATGTATCAGAATCTCACTTCCTTTGAAGGCTGAATAATGTTCCATGTATGGATATAGCACATTCTGTTATCCATGTATCTGTCAACAGACTCTTGGGTTGTTCCCACCTTTTGGCTATTGTAATGAATGCTGCTATGGAGATTGCTCTCAGTGGTTTAAACACCAAAGTAGCAAAAGTTAACTTTCTTTCACAACAACAGACCACCACATACTGCAGTGAAGAGTTTTCGCTGTAATGGCTGATATGATGCCAATTCCTTCAAAGACCAAGTACAGGCCATATTTGGTCTCTGTCCCATTCCACTACAGGGTGCATCCAGAAGAATTCGGTCAAAGGATTCTGGTAGAAATGGAGGTTCCCCTATAAAGAGAATTATAAACATGTTTACTATCTGCCATATAGGTTTAAACTAGAAAACTCCTGAGATGATCAGGAATTTAAAATCATAATCTAGAATCAAAAATAAAACAATTTCTCCCTTCAATCAAGCAGCTGGTTAAACTAATTTTGACTTATACCTAATATAGATTTGATGTGGTAAAAAGGTTAAAAATGTAGTAATAGTTGAAACTTATTCTGTTGATACAGTACAAACCAAGGCCTAATCACACAAGACCTTGTACCCCAAACTTCAGAAGCCACAATTTATCAAAGCTAGGACTTGGAATTAATTCTAGTTGTTCTGGAAACTGATACTTCTCTTGGTAATTTCTACTGCAGACAGCCCCCGAAAAAATGCCTGTTCAATCATTGTGAAACATGCTGATTCTGGTGTTCCTGAGTCTCCTTGTTTCTGTGGCCATCGGTAGGGCTATGGTCTAGAATAGGTAGAATGAGTCAGTACCACCCCTAGATTCAATCTTCCACGAAGGTTTCCTTTGCATTCACTTGAATAATTTTCCCTAACTTCTGACCTATTTAATGTTATTGGAGGAAGGTATGAAATCAAGTGGTCTGTTTATATATTTAGGCTGTCTACCTGCAAGCAAGATTTCCATTCCATTCAATTCCATTTCCCATTCCATTCTGCATTCCATTCCCCATTCCATTCCATTGTCTATTCCATTCCATTCCATTCCATTCTGCATTCCATTCCATTCTGCATTCCATTCCATTCTCCAATCAATTTCATTCGCCATTCCATTCCATTCTCCAATCCATTCCATTCTCCAATCAATTCCATTCTCCATTCCATTCAATTCTCTATTCCAATCCATTCCATTCCACTCCACATTCCATTCCATTCCATTCCTCATTCCATTTCATTGCATTCCATTCCCCATTTCATTCCATTCTCCATTTCATCTAAATTCCACTCTCCATTCCATACCATTCCCTATTCCATTCTCCATTCCTTCCATTCCCCATTCCATTCCATTCTCCACTCCATCTCCATTCCATTCAATTCTCCACTCCATCTCCATTCCATTCCATTCTCTATTCCATTCCATTCTATTCCCCATTGAATTCGATTCTCCATTCAATTCCATTCCATTCTCCATTCCATCTCCATTCTCCATTCCATCTCTATTCCATTCCATTCCATTCCATTCCATTCTCCATTGCATTTAATTCCATTCCATTCTCCATTCCATTCTCCATTCGACTCCATTCTCCATCCCATTCCATTCTCCATTACATTCCATTCTACACACCATTCCATTCTCAATTCACTATTCCATACCATTCCATTCTCCAATCTATTCTCCCTTCCATTCCATTCTCCATTCCAATCCTTTCTCCATTCCGTTTCACTACACTCAACTGTCCATTCCATTCTCCATTCCATTCCATTCTCCTTTCCATTCCATCCTCTATTTGATTTCCCAGTCCATTCCATTTTCCATTCCATTTCATTCCATTCTCTATTCCATTCCATTAAATTCCATTCCATTCTCCATTCCATTCTCCAATCCATTTCCTTCTCCATTCCATTCCCTTTTCCATTCCATTCCATTTCCCAGTCCATTCTCCATTCCATTCCAGTCCATTCTCCATTCCATTCCATTATCCATTCCATTCTGTTCAATTCTCCATTCCATTACATTCTCCATTCCCTTCCATTGCCTTCTCCATTCCATTCCATTCTCCATTCCATTCCATTCTCCATACCATTCCATTCTCTATTCCATTCCATTCCATTTTCTATTCCATTCCATCCTCCATTCCATTACATTCTCCATTCCATTCCACTCCCCATTCCACTGCATTCTCCATAACATTCTCCATACCATTCTCCATTCCATTCCATTCCATTCTCCATTACATTACATTCACCACTGCATGCCATTCTATTCCATTCTCCATTCCATTCTCCATTTCCTTCTCCTTTTCATTCCATTCCATTCTCCATTCCATTCCATCTTCCATTCGATACCATTCCATTCTCCATTTCATTCTCCACTCCATTCCATTCCATTCTCCTTTACTTTCCATTCTCTATTCCATTCCATTCTTCACTCCATTCCATTTTCGATTCCTTTCCATTCTCCACTCTGTTCCATTCCATTCTCCACTCCATTCCATTCTCTCTTCCATTCCATTCTCCATTCCACTCCAATCCATTCTCCATTCCATTTTCCATTCTATTCCAGTCCATTGTCCATTCCATTCCATTGTCCATTCCAGTCTCCATTTCATTCCATTCCATTCTTGATTCCATTCCATTTCTTCCATTCTCCATTCCTTTCCATTCTCCATTACATTCTCTATTACATTCCATCCCATTTCCCAGTCCACTCTCCATTACATTGCATTCCATTTTCCATTCCATACCATTCCATTCTCCATTCAATTCCATTTCATTCTCCATTCTAATTCTTTCCATCCACTCTCCATTTCATTCCATTCTCTATTCCGTTCCATTCTCCATTCCATTCTCCATTTCATTCCATTCTCAATCCCATTCCAATCCATTCTTCATTCCATTCTGTTCTCCATTACATTCCACTCTCCATTCCATTTTATTTTCCACTCCATTCTTCATTCAATTCCAATGCATTCCCCATTCCATTAAATTCTCAAATCTCCATTCCATCAAATTCTCAAGTCTCCATTCCATACATTCTCCGTTTCATTCCACAATCTATTCCAGTCCATTTCACTTCATTCTCCATTCCTTCCCATTCTATTCCATTCCATTTGATTCCATTCCATTCCATTTTCCATTCCATACCATTCCATTCTCCATTCCATCCTACACCATCCTCCATGCCATTACATTCTCCATTCCATTCCATTCTGCATTACATGACATTACATTCTCCATTCCATTCCTTTCTCCATTCCATACCATTCTCCATTCCATTCCATTCTATTCCATTCCATATCATTCTCCGTTCTGTTCCATTCTCCATTCCATTCTGTTCCACTCCATTTTCCACTCTATTCTCCATTCCATACCATTCTATTCTACATTCAAATCCATTCTCCATTCTATTCCATTTCTTCCATTCTCCATTCCAATCAATTCCATTCTCCATTCCATTCCATTCTCAATTCTACTCCCTTCCATTTCCCTGCCCATTCTCCAGTTCATTCCATTCCATTCTCCATTCCATTCTCCATTCTATTGCAATCCATCCACTCTCCATTTCATTCAATTCCATTCCATTCCAATCCATTCTATTCTCCATTCCATTCCATTCTCCATTCCATCCTCCACTGCATTCTCCATTCCATCCTCCACTGCATTCTCCATTCCATTCTCCATTCAATGCCAATCCATTCTCTATTCCATTCCACTCTCCATTCCATTCATTCTCCATTCCATTCTTCATTTCATTCCATTCTCCATTCGATTCAATTCTCCAGTCTCTATTGTATTCCATTCATCGTTCCATTCCATTCCTTTTTCCATTACACTCCATTCTCCATTCCACTCTCAACTCCATTGTCCATTCCCTTCCATTCTCCATTTGATTCCATTCTCCATTCCATTCCCATTCCATTCCATTTCCTGCATCCTCCATTCCCTTCCATTCTCCATTTGACAATCCATTCTCCATTCCATTTCCCAGTCCATTCTCCATTCCATTCCTTTCCCTCTCAATTTCATTCTACTCTCCATTCTATTCTATTCCACTCCACTTTCCATTCAATTCCTTTCTCCATTCCATACCATTCCATTCTGCAATCCATTCCAAACTATTCTCCATTCTTCCATTCCATTCTCCACTGCATTCTCCATTCAATTCAATTCCATTCTCCATTCAATTTAATTCCTTTCTTCATTCCATTCCATTCTCCATCCCATTCCATTCTCCATTCCATTCACCATTCTTCATTCCATTCCATGCTTCATTCCATTCCATTCCATTCTCCATTCAATTCTCAAGTCTCCATTTCATTCCATTCCATTCTATCTTCCATTCCATTCCATTCTCCATTCCATTCGATTCTATTCCATTCCACTCTCCATTCATACGATTCCATTCTTCATTCCATTCCATTCTATCTTCCATTCCATTCCACTCCACTCTCCATTCTCCATTCCATTCCCCTCTTCATTTCACTCTCCATTCCAATCTATTCCACTCAATTCCATTCCATTTTCCATTCCAATCTCCATTCCATTATCCATCCCATTCCATATTCCATTCCATTCTCCACTCCATTCCATTCCATTCCCCATTCCACTGTAGTCTCCATACCATTCTCCATTCCATTCTGTCCACCATTGCATTCCCTTCCATTCTCCATTCCATTTCATTCTCCATTCCATTCCATTCTCTATCCCATTTCGTCCTCCATTCTATTCTTCATTCTACTCCATCCTCCATTCCATTCTCTATTCCCTTCCATTCTCCATTCCATTCCATTCTCTATTCCCTTCCATTCTCCATTCCATCCCATTCTCCATTCCCTTCCATTCTGCATTCCATTCCATTCTCCATTTCATTCCATTCTTCATTCAGTTCTCCTTTCCACTGCATTTTCCACTCCATTCCATAGAGAATTCAATACAGAATGGAGCAGAGTAGAATGGAATGGAAAGGAGAATGGAATGGAACAAAATGGAATTAAATGGAAAGGAGAATGGAATGGAATGGAATGGAATGGAAATGGGAATAGAATGGTGAATGGAATAGAATAGACAATGGAATGGAATGGGGAATGGAATGGAAAGGGGAATCGAATTGAATCGAGAATGGTTTGGAATGGAATGGAGAATGCAATGCAGAACTGAATGCGGAATGGAATGGAATGAAATGGAAAATGGAATGGAATGGAATGTAGAACTGAACGGAATAAAGGATGGAATGGATTGGAGAATGGAATGGAATGGAAAATGAAATGGAGACTGTAATGGAATGGAGAATGAAATGGCATGGAGGAAGGAGTGGAATGGAATGCAATGG